GGGGCCCAGCAGGCGGGAGGGCGCCCGGCCCGGGGATTTGCCGCGCGCTCTCCTGTAGCGAATGCAAGGGAAACCGGCGGCCGAGGACGCGCGGCGGATTAGAACAATATTTGCCCAACATGACGGAGAATACTGAGGAGAGCCGAGTGCCGGTCGCTGAAGAGGCTCTTGAATATAAAGTTGGGCGCTCGAGAGCTCTCCAGCGCTAATGGCATATCCCGCCACGGAGACCGAGGGACTCTGACTTGGCGACGCACGATTTCTGATTAAATCCAAGGGTGGCTTCAGACACCGACTTTTACAAAGAGAGGCGGGGGGACCGCGAGAGCGAGGGAGGAGGCGGTAGGCACCGCTCGGCAGCCGGAGCCCCTTCTCGCCTCCTCCCTTCCAATTATCCGTCGGCTCCCTCCGCCGCGGCGGCTGTGAAATCGTTCTAATCTGCCGGATCTCCGCAGCCGCCAAGTCCCCAAATTGGGGGGATCGAGGCCGGATTAGTGTACCGGGTGTCCCCCAACCTTCTGAGCAAACTGTGTAGACTTTGCATTAAGGCTTCCAGGCGAGGCGGCTCCCTCCCCGGCACGCACCAGGAGGGCCTGTCTTCCTGGTTTCCAAAGTCACCCCCGCCCCCAGGGGCCCTGGCCGTCTGTGTACCACCTCCCAGAGCCCACAGGTACGGTCCCCGGACTTCTGGGGCACAGCAGGTATCTCATTTAGGAGACTGCCAACCATGGAGCATTTCCCCAATCGTCCCCAAACGAAATTAGAACTTTGGGAGAGGTTAGAAGCAAGAAGAGTCGGGGGAGGGACAGCCCGGTGCCCCCAGAGCCAGCGGGAAACAGCATCTTGTCACCTGCCCTCGGCTATTCTATTAGGGGCGGTGGCCCAAACTGGGGTGTCAATATAGTCATCAACCAGCCCCTTCGGGCCCCCAACAAAATGAACCCTCTTGACCTCTTGGAGCATGGAGCTGACCTGATGGGCCACATCTCGCCCGGTACTGGCATCTCTAAGGGGCAGGCGAAACTGCTGCCCAAGCTGCACCCTGGGGGCCAGAGAGCCATTGGTCCCAGAGCCTCCAGGCGCTTCCAGGCTCTCCCTCTGTCTCTCCCTGCCCTTCTCAGAGGCGTCTAGACCCTCCAGGTGTGTCCTCCTTCCGCTTAGGGTGGCAGGACTGGGGACTCACAGCACCGGGGACTCTAGCAGCCAGCTAGGACCCTCTCTCCATCCCTGCAGGACCCTCCCTCCACGCCAGGACTTTTTTATTTCTGATGGCTGAACTGCCACAGCTCCAAGCCTTGGGAGCTCAGAGCTGTCAGAGGTCTTGGGGCTCAAGAAACACTGGAGTCAAGGGGTGCACGGGGGTCTCCTCGGCATCCTCACCCGGTGCCTCTCTCTTTCCTCCCCTCCCGCCCACAGTGTCCACTCCGCTGGGCCAAGGCCGGGTCAATCAGCTCGGTGGCGTCTTCATCAACGGGCGACCCCTGCCCAACCACATCCGCCACAAGATCGTGGAGATGGCCCACCACGGCATCAGGCCCTGCGTCATCTCCCGCCAGCTGCGCGTCTCCCACGGCTGCGTCTCCAAGATCCTCTGCCGCTACCAGGAGACCGGGTCCATCCGGCCCGGGGCCATCGGAGGCAGCAAGCCCAGAGTGAGTGTCTGCCGTAGAGCGGCCGGCCGTTGGCCTTCCCCTGGTGCCGGGATCCTGGCCTGGCCCCCTTCACCGCCCTGTGCCATCCTGGTGACTACAAGCTTCTTATGGCAAATACGGGTGGGAGACTGTCCCCACCCCAGATATCCCTCCCCGTTGTTTGAGTTTCTCAGGGATGGGAATACCTGGGGTCCAGGTTGCCTGGGACTTTGAGGCCAATGAGTCATTCCTGGGCTGTTCCTACATCTGTCCCGACCCCCTGTCACCACCCCAGACCAGGGCCCCTTTCCCCCTCAGTCTTGTCTGAAATAGTGAGGAGGGGGATCCTGTGGGTCCTGAGTAGGTTTCTATTTCATAACCTCTACCCTCCCCCCCCACACACACACACACCCCTGCCTTCCTTGGAGTCAGACAGGTTCCTGGGAAGGATACAAAGCCCGTTTCAGAAGGAGGGCATGGCTACCAGAGCCACCAGCCTGGCCTGGGGCTCTTGGGAAGTTGATATTGAAAGTCTCCCCCTCCCCCCACCCCGTCTTCCCGCTCCTGCCCTCCCACCTCCACCTCTGAAGCAGGTGGCGACCCCGGATGTGGAGAAAAAGATTGAGGAGTACAAGCGGGAAAACCCGGGCATGTTCAGCTGGGAGATCCGGGACCGGCTGCTCAAGGACGGGCACTGCAACCGCAGCACCGTGCCCTCAGGTGAGAAGGCAGCTGAGCCAGCAGAGCGTGCCCTGGGCTGCAGGGCTCTGGGGATCCTGGCTGGAGGGGGGCGGGGCGGGGGCTGATGGATGGGGAGAACTTGGAGAAAAGTTGGGAGGGAACGGGAGCAAGAGAGCAGAGAGACAGTGAGGACACAGGAGGGAAGCAAAACCTTAAGGGAGATGGAAGGAGAAAGAAGGAAGGAAGGGAAGGAGGGAGGGAGGAAAGAGGAGGCAAAAAGTTTACTTATCATGTTGGGTGAGAAGCGCTCCCTGGCACTTCCCTAGAGAAATGGCCTGGAGACAGTTGTCCCAGGAGGTTTGATGTCCGCGGGCTCCCTGGACCCCCTTCTTCAAGTCACCATGTCTGTTCTGCTGCTGCCACCAGCCATCAGTGGGTCCCCAATGCGGAGGCCCTGAGCCAGGCTCCCTGCGGGGGAGTGTGTGCCTGGGCCCTCGCGCAGGCAGGGCTGGGACACACCTGCCTGTGGCTGCAGCAGCCGGGGCTGCGGGGCCTGCCTCCAGGGAGGCTCGGGGAAGGGGGTGTGGACGTGAGTGCACCCAGGGTATGTGAAGTGAAAGGCACAGGTGTGTGCGAGGCTGTGTTCGGATAGGAGTGCACAGGTGGCTGTGTCTGCCAGTCTTGCCGCTGAGTGCGTGCCCCGTGTGAGTCAGGCTTGCCCACGGGGTGACACACTGTGCTGGTGCCGGCGGAGGTGTAAATGCTGGCCTGTGGGTGTGACTCCCCGGGCAGTGAATTAGGGGGAAGGGGCTTCAGGACTTTGTCCCCAGGGCCTAGGCGGCCCGCGCTCCGCTCCCGCGCCCCAACAACTTATACTCGCTCTTTTGCCTTTGAATTTCTGAGGTTTAGTGAGTTCGATTAGCCGTGTGCTCAGAATCAAGTTCGGGAAGAAAGAGGAGGACGACGAAGGGGACAAGAAAGAAGACGATGGAGAGAAGAAAGCCAAACACAGCATTGATGGCATCCTGGGCGACAAAGGTAGGGACCCTCGCAGCCGGCCATGGACCGAGCCCGCGTTTCCCACGCGCTGGGGTGCGGGCCAGGGATGAATAGATTGTGCTTCGCTTCTGTGCCCCAGACTGGAGGACAGAACTGCAGAGGGAGAACTCACGGCTCCGGAGCAGCCAGGAGCCTCTCAGGATTTGGGGAGGGTGCCCCCTCTGTGTGTCCCGCAGGGCCAGGAGCAGGTGGCCTACTTTGTGGGGGAGCTCGGCTGCAGGTTACTGCAAGGCACGCCGACAACCGTGCGCCTAGGGGGCGCGGACTCCCGGCGAGAGTCCTCCAGGCCTGGCGTTTTGGCTGCGGGTCCCTGGGTCGATCTATTATTTATAGGAAACTTGGGCAAGGGGGGCGGGGGGCGAGGAAGGAGGAGCCGGCCTGCGGCTCCCTAAATGAATTTGTTAACCAGACCCGCACACGCTCTCTAAACGGTCCCTTGAAACCCCGCCTGACAGCTGACTGACCGCCGCAATCAATAAAAATTAGCGCGGGCCGCTTGGGCCGCTGCCTCTCATTTCCCGTTGCCAGGGCCCAGATCGCCGCGGCGCGGAGTGGAGAGGCAGAGGGGTGCACTGCTAAGGTGCTCTCAGGGCCAGAGCCTGGGTAGGAGGATCCCGGTAAAGGAGAGAGATTGGGGCGCTGCACCCCCTCTCCCCCTGTCAGCGCGGCCGCTGGGCGGACTGGAGTCTAACCGCGCTCTGATTTTCCTGGAAGGGAGCTAGAGGAGCCGTTCATCTTCCCGGCACCTGCGTGCCTGGGAGAGGGGATTGCTGTGTCCTTTATTTGAGGCAGGAAATTTCAGGAGAAAGGAAAGTCCTTCCTCAATCCCTCGTCCCCTGGAAGTTGTCTTTGAGACGTGGTGAGTGTTCCTGCTTTACGTGAGGGCGTGGGGAGAAATAGAAGCGGGAGATCCGGAGTCGCCGGCCAACAGGAAAAGACGCAGGTCCCCAAGGACGCGCGGGGAGGACAGTGGGAGCCTGTACGACAGTGGCTTTGGGAAAAGGGCAGAAACTTGTAAAGAGCACATTGTGTTCGCGTTTCCTTCCAGAAGTTTGTGGAGGCCCCTCTCTCCTTGCCTCCTGTAACTCCCGGCTCAGGTCTCTCTCCAGTTCTCAGTGGCCTCTCCCAGCCTTGAAGGTGAACTTCACAGACAAAGCCCAGCCAGGCCCAGCCCCCACGGGCCTGGCTGGAGGGGGAAGGAAGAGGGGCAGAGGCAGCCCCCTGTGAGAGCAGCTGGAGCTGGGACTGAGCAGGCTATTGACATTCAGGGCCCTCAGTGGAACCCTGTCCAGCAGGGACAAAAGGGCGAGGGAAGAAAGGGAGCGAGCTGTGCCTGACACCCCGCTGTGCCGGGCCTGCCGAGGGGCCTGGGTCTTCAGCGGGAGGGGCCCTGCCTGACAAGCAGCCCCTGGCTCTCCTGAGGTTGCCCAGAGCCCTGGCACCCCTGGTGCTGGTGGGAGGGACCCAGTCCTCACTTCAGTCTGTATTGGAAAGGTACTTAGTTGGACTCCTTTTTTGTGGGGTGGGAGACATAAAACTTAAATAATCTTTCCCACCAAATCCTGCACAGCAGACAGCGCTTGTGGGAGGGGTTCCCTGGGTGGAGTGCCGGGAGATTTGGTTTTATTTGGAGAAACTTTAGGGGTGTGTCTCTCTGTCTGTCTATGTGGTGGGGGTATGCCCAACTCAGTCTGTGAGGAAGCACAATAGACTCATGTCTTTTGAGAGAGAGAGAGAAAAAGGGAAATGAAGAGGATGGAAAGATGGCGTGGTTTGGGGAATCCCTTTGACTCAAAGGCATTCGAAGTGGCTTCAGTGCGGGTCTGGGCTTTTATAAAACCAGCTAACAGGCGGGCGACTTCGCTAGATAGAGGTTTTCCCTGCAGCAGGACCGGGAAGCCCCAGGCCTCCAGGGTTGAAGGAGGAGCCTGGCGGATCCGAAGGGAAGGCTGAGAGCACAGGCACTGGGTCTGTGGAGTGGCAAAATGAAACAAAAGCCGCGGGCCTGGGCTCGGAGAAGCCCTGCAGTTCTGAATGACAGTGGGCATGTTGGGCATTGCGACTGGAGCTAGGTGGCCACGTAGGCGCTTGTGTCTGTCAACATGGCTGTTTGCCCATCGACCCTTGGATCAGAGTGCAAGGGGCTGTATTCTGAACCAGTGGGCTTCTGTGTGGGGGTGCAGTGTCATTGTAGAGGGGTGCAGCGTGACTGTTTGCCCATCGGCCCTTGGATCGGAGTGCGAGGGCTGTATTCTGAACCAGTGGGTTTCTGTGTGGGGGTGCAGTGTCATTGTAGAGGGGTGCAGTGTATATGGGCTGTGTGCTGGTCGGGTTGCCTGCTCATCTGTGCACAAATCATGTCAGCTCCTGATGTGGTACCTGGGCCAGTCCCTGGGCACCTGGGTGAACTGCCCACCTGGAACCATTCACCTCTCTCCCAGGCCCCAGACATCAGTTTCATGGCCAAGTTAGGGGCTAAAAGACCTCCCAGCCTCCACCCCTATCAACCAGGTGGGGAGAGGCCAAGAGGCCCCATGGGCAGAGCGAGGGGAGGGGCGCACATCCACAAACTTTGTTTTGGCTCCTTGCGTTGGGCAAATGCTTTCTCCGGGGGTTGCCCCACTCGTGGCAGGGAGCCCTGGAAGAAGGGGTTTAAGAGCTCTCCTCTTTAAACGCTAAAGAGAGATCCCTCCCTGAGCCCGCTTTTTCCTACCGTCCGCTTGGCATTTAATAATGTTAAGACTTATTAGAGCTGGTAATGAAAACTGGGCCTGCTGAATAGGAAGCGGTGTTGGAGAGGGGTGTAATAGCTCCCAGGCATGGTAAGAAACTATTTATCCGCAATCAGTCCTCACTCTCAGAGTTTGAAGCACAAACGTTAAGTTGAAGGGTTTTAAAGCAGATTAAATTGAGCTTTTATTTCTGTGCACTTTCATCTCTGAACAGCTCACTCCTGCTCCCCTTGGGCTGATATTCATGAGGCTGTTCATATTTTTTTTCTCTTATCCTTGTTAAGACTGAGTTATTAGGATTGTTGGTTGTGAGGATCTGCAGCCCGATGCGCGTAGGGGCTCCAGCCAAGCTCTGGTCACCTGGAGAGGGGAGTGGACAGTTCACGGCCCTCATCCGCTCAGACTCTCCTCCATGCCCCTTCTCTGAGGATCAGGGGACGGACAGGCAGGCCCGGGACCCAACCAGGAAAGGGTTTGAGGAGGGACGAGAAAGAACAAGATTTTCCTGAGACTCTTGTAGGAAATTTGAGAGGCATTTGCACAGAGTCAAACCATTCTTCTGGGGAACTGACGGAGTGAATGGGAAGAAATGAGCAATAATAATAATAATAATAATAATAATAATAATAATGGCAATAAGCAATAAGAACACCAAAGCCTCCAGCAAGCATCTGGCACTGTACAAACTTAGGCTGAAATGGACCAGATCAGACACGGGGGCTCCACACGGTTCTCTAAAGCAGAAAGCCCAGCAGGGTCTCAATGAATAGGAAACCAGGGAAAAAGTAACAAGATTAAAAAAGAGGAGTGTGCCTTTTCCTGGGGGGGGGTCCCCAAAGTCCACCCGAGAATGTGCCAGCTTCCCCCTTACTGAGTGGCCACCTGAGTGGGGGCCCAGGTGTGTGCCTGAGAGAGAGAGGCAGGTGTGTGTTTCGCTGCCTTTTCCCTTCATCGATGTTGAAAGCAGCAAACGTACAGGTGTGGAGCGGGAAGTGACTGAGGAGACTCGGGAAGGAGGGAGAGCCGGGAGTGCCGGCTTTAGACACTTGTAAAAGGAGGTGGGAAACAATTTAATTTGGCAGCGGCGGTAGCTGCTAATGCGGTTTTCGGTCGTTTGCTACACAGGAGGAAGCTGTTTTGATTGTGTGTACAAGGACCTGCCAAATTTAATTAGGCTCCGGGGGAGCGAATGAATGGGGGGAGGGGGGGTACGGCTCCCCTCAGCCCACGCCGCCTTCTCCTCGGCTTCTTCACACCTGGAAGGGGCATTGTTTACCGGGTAGGAGAGGACGGGCCGGGGAGGGGAGGGGAGGGGACCCGGAGGGAGAGGGGCCTAGGGAGAAGGAGCCAGGGAGGAGAGAAGATAGTCCATTTATCAAGAAACAAGCGGCATTGATTTAAACCAACAAGTTCCCTCCTCCGTAAATGTGTGTTTAGAGAAAGGTAATTGACACTCCACCAAATCAAAGGATTACCCCGGGTTGGCAATCTAATCAAACGGAGTCCAGGCGGGATTTGAGGCTGTTCAAAGTGGGATCAGCTTCGCATAATGGGGGCGCGGAGGAAGGCGGGAGGGCGCCGGGCGATTCCCCGGCTTTAGGCGGCGCTGGGTGGTGGATATTCAGTGAAACCCGAGGGGGAGGCCCGCTCGATGGGGGTGGAAGGGGTGAGCCGAGGGGAGCTGTGCTTGGGAGGAATATCCCTGGGGGAGGCGGCTCCTGGCGAGTCTAGGCGGGGCAGACACGACGCCCCCTTTCTTCCCTCCATCCTCCCCCCCAACCGAAGAAGAGAGAGAGAGGGGGAGAAGAGGGAGCGGAGACAGAGGAAGAACAACAATGAGATAACTATTACAAAGGCAAACACTGGCGCTCGCTCGCTGGCAGCCCCAGAACCCGCGGCAAATAAACAAAGTCCGCTGTTTGCCAGATAAACTCGTGCCTAAATGGAGTGTGACGGGGGCCGGGAGAGAAGAGACGGGAAGAGATAAGGTTGGAGGGGGAATGAACGAATATAATCTAATAGACGTTTAGAAAACAAACTTTAAACAAGGGCGAACAGGCGAGCGGCGCGTAATTATCCGCCCCAGAGACCCGAGAAGCCCTTGCAGGTTGGGGCGCTGGGGGTGGAGTGGGGGACCTCAGCCGAGCCTGGCAGAGCCGTCTGTTGCGGGGTGCCGCTGGGACTCCACTGGGAACCAGAAGAGGGCCCCCGGGGGCGCACCTGGGAAGGGCTCGGCTGCCAGACGGA